AAATTTTTCTAATATATGGATAGTTCACCGTTTAAAACAATCCTATTGATTGACTGATTCATCGTCTGTCTGTTTAACTATAGACGGGATAAAATAAAATACAATTTGATTAATCCCTCTCCAGACTAGTCTTTTCTCTCTATCCGCATATCTTCTTGGATAAATATCTATGTCTTCTATCTAGGAACAATGTTTTCCAATGTTTTTGTGTGGTGGTTACAAGCACGATGGATGAAAACGACGCAATTAACCAGGTCATTTCAGATGAAGTGAATAGCATATCTATAATCTTCTTACGGAATACAACTCGATATTAGTAGTATCATGTATTCAGCTTCAGGGAAGCGTAATGTGGAACCAAAAGTTCCTTCAATTTTCTGGTTGCAAATTGTGTGTGTGGGGGGGGAGAGGAGGGGAGGAATTAAATTTACCTCTCAAAATTTGGAATATTTTCCGATTCATTTACCTAAAGAATAATAGTTACTATAGCTGACAGTACTTATTTAGCGTCAAGTGATACATTTGAGTCACTAAAAGACTACACATTCGATATGAATTTCAGTCAAGTTATTAGCTATATTAAATGTGTCATAGTAGTAGTGTGTTCTTTCTTTCATCTTCATAACTGATGGGTATATTTTCAACTTTCATGTTTATTAAACTGTGAAGTTTCTTTTATTGAAAAGGTTTTGTACATGCATGTACATGTAATCTTGAAGAAGGCAGCTGACACCTCTAATAATAGCTTCAACTAGGTGGCCATGACAATTGTTATTACCATGCATTCCGTATGTACCATCTCATTCTCTAATATACTGGTATTATTTGGTTGACCTTTATTACCCGGCACACTTCTCTCCCCTAATTTATTTAGGGTGGAAGAAAGAAATCGGAAATGAAAAATGATTGGCTGATTCCACTGTTTAAAAGTTAATGTGCTTGTGTGGCCAAGTTGCTTTCCTATTGGACTAGGACACTTACTTGTAGTAATCTGATTAGTTGAGCTTAGATAAGCTTTCTGTATTTATTTTGACTTAGAAAAACATCACTTGTCAGATAAATTCTGTTTTAAGAAATTAATCGCCATCAGGTCAAGATCAAATCCAAAATGAATTTGAAATTTGTAGAGAATTTAGTTCTGTAGTGACAATATTGTGTAATATTTCAGGGAGCCTGTTTCAAAATGTATTGAGTGTAGTTTATGTTACGATAATTGCAATTTCCCGTTGTTATACAGGGCTGAATTGCTCGACCTCTGTTGGTAGATGGGCTCCTATACGGGATGCCTTGATACTGCTCCTTATTCATGATGTAGCATTTATCTTGGTGACTAACAGAGGACTCCAGGACTGGCATTTTGTCCTATTTGGGACTCAGCTTAGTGGATAACACTCTGCCTGTTTAAGCGATGGGTACTGAGTTCGATCCACAGTGGGGACGACATCACTCACTGGGGTGTTGCTACATCCAGCTAACGAGTCCCGAGTGGGACGAAACGCGCGTCCTGGTAGTCACCGAGATCAATATATGTTGAGTGTAATTTACAACTGCAAACAAAGTTTGCAGAGAAATCTAAATCTTAAAATTATTGATCGAAAGTTTGCACACAATGATAAGTCCTTATTTTGGTGAACAAATTTACTGCCCGTGATCACACTAACAGTTGGAATATTTTCTTAATAATTTACTGAAATAAAAGCTAACCATTATTTGTAAACTTTTCATTTGAAATATACTTATAATATATTATTCCATCCGAAAATACAGAATCTTTTCATCGATATATTTAAATCCTTGTAGGAATACACTACTAGCTGTAATTTTGAGGATAATGTTGGTGAGAAAACTGATTACTCTGCCTTGGTAGTTCTGACCAACATTAAGGTGGTCCTCGAAAACCGGTACTACCTGAGTAATCACGTTCATACAGACAAATGTTACAATGTATCTCTGCGTTTGCCACTAAATTGCTACCATATACTCTGCACTTCAACATTTTTATTGAGAGTGAATTTGTTGTTCAAGGTATGACAGCGGGGAAACTATTTTATTTCAGCTGTGATTAAAAGACAGCATTTATTGAATTTCTCATGCTTCTAAGAGAAGAGGTGGTAGTGTATCGGAATTCTTGTTGTTATCAAATAACTGCAGTAAATTGGCTTATAAATACTGTGTGAGTATTGAATATTTTGTTTATGATAGAAGAAACAAGGATTTTTGGCGACGCCTTCAATTATAGTTGACAGTTTCAGAAAGTATCCCGAGTTCACTTCTTACATTTTTTTCTATCTAGTAAATGCATGGATTCCATTGAAAAATATTTTAGTTGATCAAATGAGACTTCCATAATGGAGCAGATCAACAGGGAATTCGCACGCAGGTCACACCATAGGGTACATTGTTGTTTGCAAGTGAACATGTCTGTTTCGGAAGCATTTCACTGATAGAATGTGGATGTTAAGAGCTAATACAGTTTCATTGACCAACTGGAAGCTTATTAAAAGACGAAGGGACTAACACTACGGATACTTCATTCAGTTGCGCTAACAATCATTACAAAGTTTTTGAGATTAGAATAGGCTTCCTCTGGTAACATTTTACTTCCAGTCTATACCTAGAGTTCTGATGACTAGCATAAATAATGTTACCTGAAATTTTTTATGGCTGAAGATAATTCACTGAGGTCATTTAAAGCAATATTTTGTAAACAATCATCTCTCCATATATTTGGATATTAGGATAAGTACATGTTAACTAATATGCATCAAGATTGAAGGTTATCCATGAGGACATTGCCAACGATTGAAGCAGCTTAGTAACCGAAATGTTTAGTAGTAGTAGTTGTTAATATTTTGGAAACGAAGATTTGGTGGGAGAGGGAGACGTCTAAAAAAGGCATAGTTGCTAAGACTGTTGAGTGTCGGTCAATTACCCAAGCATAGAAACTAAATGAATTTGATCAGTTTGAATCAATTCTCTTCCCTAATTAATTTCAATTAAACAAGGAGAACACGTAACTTGTCTTAATAACGAGCTGAGTAACACTACAAATATTAGTGAGTGAATGACTTGTAAGTCGAATTGCCTATGGAAAGAAGTACTAGTTGATAATATATAGGAAATGAATTGAGCTAGGGACATTTAGAAGCGCAAAGCTCCTGTTTTTTTTTCTGAACTGTACACAGTACCTAATTGTAGCTACTGTTAGCTGTAACTGACCACACGTACATTTAAATGAATAAATACAATGGGACGTGATTTTATCTTTCACCTGTTCCAAGTGCTTTGATGGGTATATATGCTTCGACTTTTCAATTATCCGGACCTTAGCTGCATAATAGGTAGTTATCATTCTCTGTCCTACACTTCTTAACAACCTACCATTCTGTAATACATTAATTCGGTTGATAAGTGAAGTAGTTAAACATGGATAATCACTTCTGATTTGTTTAAAAGAACGAAAGAACTCATTCAAATCACATTTTGGATGGTCCTGAGAAGGGCCTTTGTTCGTTCACTTCCTGTCATGAAGTAGTTCACTTCTGGTGCAGTTTGTCTTCATCTGAAATCTGAAAGTGAAGTAGGAACAGCTGTGTAGAATTGCTGTTCATCGTTGAAGAATGGTAAAAGCTATAGGAATAGCCATGAAGTTGATGTCGATGGATACAAACTCGTAGAGAAAAAGGTTCTCATTATTAGTCTTGTAAGTACCATCGAGACACAGGAGATCAAGACATTTTTCAGCTTATTTCCTCTGGTTGGCTGTGGCGAAAAAGAGGATTTCAGATCTCCACTCTCTGTTACAGAGAAGGATACCGATCCACCTTGACTCATTATATGCTCCTGCAACTTTTCATGAATGCCTACAACAACATTCTTTCAGGGGAAAATTCAACTACCGGTCAAATTACACTGAGTGAAGAGGTGATAACGTATATTGTACACATCTTGATCATTCAATCGTTTACCAAAGTGTGCATAAACGAAATCAAAAACATTAGATGCAGCCGTCCCGGATATTAACAGTGGCCTTATGCTCTCCAATTCAACTCGCGTCAACTTCCGCGCCCAAGAACTATTGTCATAAATCAGAGAATTGCAGGGATGACTGTGAGTTAAAAATCACCGAGTTACTGTCCAGAAACTTTCTAAGAACTTCGTGAGCACGAAAGCCCGACTAGAACATTTCGGTGAAATTCTACGAAATATATAGTCAAAACAAACAGAACTAACCTTCTTATCACTAAACCACCTACTGACCGACGTTCACCAGCCTTAAAGAAAACAAACTTGACGTAGGCTCTTCGGTGACCTTTACTCCTTTAGGGCGACCTTCAAAGACTCTAGGGACGGAAACGCAGTGAGACAAAAATGCTCCATAAAGATTGATTCTTTTTCGGTGACAACAATTTGGACGGTATCGTCGCTCATCATGAAAACATAGCAACCCTTCCTCAGTTTGCTCCGTTTTATAGTACTTTTCGATTTCGTGTAATCAATCACATGGGATGTTTCATCGTCCATTTTGATTGGACAAAAAGTGACATGGGTTGGGAGGGGGAAGGGGTAAAAAATAATGGTTAAAAAAGTTATTATTATTTTGTCATCGAATTTTTCCTAGAATACTTCTCAGGTGTAGAGTAGAGGTGTCGCTCAGTGGTTTAGGAAGGTAACTATCAAACAGCGGGTCACGGGTTCGAACCCTGTTTCACCTACCGACGTTTAGGCAGCCAAGTAGTATCACTAGCCTTCACACGATGGGTGTCGCTTATTTCTTACTACATGAACATTCAATGGACATTCTATTTTTTTTTACTTTGGTATGAAAATATTTATGAGTTTTGTAGCCTAGGCAGTTGTTCTGGAAATAGCTGAAGCACTTTTTCATTTGTTGTCAGTAGTTCCATTGATGCTGTTGCCTCATTGTCCCTATCATTATTGTTGTCATTGTTATCAGTGTTAATTCGATTGTTGTTAACACTTTACTTCCAATTGATTAGACTGCTTAAATGGTGAATTAGATAAAGCTATGGAGTATGATCAGTTAATGCAACCACTTCTTGTACATCCTGTGTCTGAATCACGTAAGTCGATTGTGAAATAATCTCTATTACTTTTAAGTAATTAAATATTACAAATTGTTTATTATATTTTAAGGTAATCAAAACCAGTGCTTTGTATATAGTTTAGTCAATTTGTGGTTGGATTGTTAAGTCGCATGGTTAGCACATTACCATTCACCCATTGAATCGGAATTCAGTGATTTACTATTTTCAAATTTTTCCGAGTCGTTATGTAACATGTGGAATCGAAAAAGTTTGAAAGACTAAATCGTTGAATGTCAACTTACCGACTGAATGTTACCGAGAGACTTGGCCGTTCAAGGCTTGATTCATTATAGGGTCATCGATGCGCACTGCTGAGGAGTTTGTAACTAAATAAGAATAGCTGTTTACTACCTGTAGGTTACTCTGTCTGACATCAACCAGTGACGAAAAAGACTTCGAAACCGATCAATGGCTTGCATTGCTTAAGTTGTATTTATTACCTAGGTAGTTGAAAATAAACTTATTTACTGTTTTTGAGTACATGGGTTAAGTTTTACACCCTAATTACCATCACCTAGTTTACTAGTACATTAGTTACTTGCCGGTCGTAAGCCCGGATAAAGAGGGAAGGTTAGGCATAAGGTTAGCAACCCTACCCCGTAAAGCCAATCCAATCTCTAAAGAAACTTGAAAGCATAAAAAAATACCATTGCATATGTGGATTGAAATAGGCTGGAGTTGTAGTATTTTTTGATGATTTGTAATGTACATTGAAAATCCCCACTTAGCCATTCAGAATGAAAAATAAATTGAGCTGAAAAATACTTTTTGCCTGTAAAAATAGTAAGCGAATGTTTTTTTAGACACTGAACGTTTACGCCATTATGGCTTTTTGATCTACGGTGTATATTTGAATGATTTAATGCTCTGATGCGATACTATTAACGATAAAACAATGACTGCTGAACACTATATTCAGCTGGCATCAGAAGAAGAAGAAGACAATGAGATTGAAAGTATATTTGTTCCAACTAAATAGTGCGATTATAGCTGAAAGTTCAGTCGTTTATGTACCTTTTTTAAGGACCTTGACTAGGGCAAACAAAATAGCATATTAAAAGTGTAAAATGAACCAATCAGCGTTTAGTATCTTAAACTATGGTAAAAATAAATGGCATTGTGTGAAGGCACGAAAATAACGTTTAGATTTTACAACGAAAATATATACACCTTGTTAGGTTTTTAGAGACTAGACATCCCTAACAGTTTTTGAATTTCCAGTATTGTGTACCATCAACTCCTTCAGAAATCGAATGGCTAACCTTCACATTCGGTATTAAGTTCTCTACTGTCGATTCGATATATATGTAGCATGTAGGCGTTTCCATACCTTATACACTCAGCTTAAATCATAGCTATACAAATGATCCTCACTGTTAACCTTGGTTACATCATAGTGTTTCTGATGTACGGTAATGCCTTCAGGGAATTTCTATCCGAATCGACTCACTGGTGACTGGTTGACAATCTTTCATTGGTTATCTTTAGGGAGCTGAACAGTTCGTAGATTGATTTTAACGGTAGACTTCGACTAAAAAAAACACTGAATAAGGCATTAATGGTTGGTTTGTTGTTTCCTTTTTTTATTGTTATTGTTAATGAAGTTGCTAAATGTGATCTCCAAAGTGTATTACATTACTTATTTTTAATTACCATTCTAAAACAGATCCTTGGCTCCCAAAGTTTTTTTATGTTCCTGTTGAAGAATTAGAAAAAGAACGTCAATGTCGTGGTTCAGCAGCTCGTAAAAGCAGCTTCCGTTTAGCTGGTGAATCCCGCTTTCTTTGGGGACAATCAGTATACATTATATCTCAGTTACTGTGTAAGCTCCTATGGATTTTTTTGATCGTACAAGAAAGTTGTACTATGTTGTTTATTTCATTTATTTTTATTAAGTTCTAAATGTAGCTGTTAGTTTACTTATTTAAAGTTCTCAGCGAAAAAATCTTTCGACTTTGAAGTTTTCTGTAGCTGTGTTATGAAGTGGTACCTATGGTTTAATACTATTTGGAAGATATCTTCTGCGCATACATTATCGAAAGAGATTTTATCACTAACATTTTTCCTTTGATGCTATATTGATGTTGGTGACTAGCAGAATAATCTAGGATGCGTGTTTTGTCGTACGTGGGACTCATCAGTGGGTGATGTTGTTTCGATTGAAACTCGAACCCACTACCCCTTGCTTCAAACCTCAGAGAGTTATCCACTAAGCTAATGGAACACGATAGCCATCGACACAATTTTTTCCATGAGTTTATTACTTGCTCCATCTAAATAATATCTGTCTCAGTGCATCGTAATGGTGAGTCTGCTAGCTTGGTGGTCAAACTGTGAAATGACCATCCCTTGAAACTAGACAATATAAAGTTGGCTAACATCCGGTTAACAATCAATGAACATAATCCAGTCCTAAAATAGGTCAATAGTAAGTTCTGTAGCTGCAACATTGAATGACGTTGGTCGACATCGCAGAGGGGACATCAGTTCTGTAAAGGTTGCAGAGATACCTCAACAAAAAGCACGAAACGTAGGCTGAGGTGGGATTCCTGTCAATTGCCTTCATTCAACTAACACCTATTACTAGCGCCTTTAATTTTATTGTAGTATTTGTTTTCGCTTTTGTTTCTATATGTTCTCAGTTACATCTTTAAGGATTGATAACATTTTTGTTAGGATATTCATCAGCTAGCGTTACTGAATTAATGGGCAACTTTCTTTAGTTCTTATTGATATCATTTGTATATACTATTGACAACTATACTAACTTGAAGTAAGACGAGACTGCCTACTATTACTTATGAACTTCCAGATTGTGGTGGACTGGATCATGCAACAAACCGTGAGACGCGAGAAGATGGGCATACGCTGGACCGATGGAAAGAGCATAGAAGATTTGGATTTCGCTAACGATGATGATTTATGTCGGGTGTCTTGTGTCGCACAAACTCTAAGATCTACAGGCGAAAACTAACAAGTTGACAGAAGAGGTAGGGCAGCGAAAACGGGACTTCAAGTGAATGTAGAGAAGACGGAGGTGATGAAGATACTCAACCAACAATAGCATCAACAACAAGCACCAATCACAATTAACTGGAGAAACCTAAAGGAAGTAGTCTCTTTCACCTACCTAGGCAGCATCGTCTCAATTACAGGTAGCACAGACGAGGATATAAAAACCAGGTTCGGAAAAGCGAGACAGGCTTTCACTAATCTGAAATCAGTGTGGAGATCTACTGCACTCAGCACAAAGCGTGAACAAGATCCAGATTTTCAACACCAATGTCAAGTCAGTGCTGCTGTATGGTTCAGAAACTTGGTGTGTCACGAAAATCATTTCCAACAAACTATAGACATTCATCAACAGCTGCCACCTACGCTCACTCGATACTGAAGCTGAGATGGATTGCCATAAAGAATAAGCAACAAGGAACTCTGGCTGTCCCCACAATGAACCAACCGAGAACCTGTTACCCAATAAATATGCATGGAAAGAAAGTGGAGATTGATTGGTTTGGGCATACACTGAGAAGGCCGATTGGGGATATCACGCATGAGGCGAGGCCGTGGAGTGGAATGGAGAGGGGAAACGACGAGTTGGGTGTTGGAGGTGAGGTTGACATGGAGGAAATGGTGTGAGGAAGAAATGAAAGCTTGTGGGCAGTTGTTGCAGAGAATAGAGTGTAATGGAGGCGTACTACTGAAGCCCTATTTTCCACTAGGAACCCGAAAGAAAAATAATAATATAATAATGCTAACTTGAAACGTTACGCAAAAGTAAATCTTCTTAAGTTGTTTCACTTTGCAAAATCATAGTCTGTTGCACTTTCATATAATCTTCAAGCTTCATATTTCTGTTTTATATGAAAATTGCTTTCACTGAATTTCAAATCTGTTTGATATGTAATTTTCAGTAATTGCTAGATAGATTTGAAAGGAATTAATTCAACTCTGAATACTTTACTTACAGCTACTCCTAGTTTATTGTTTGGTTCAGCTTACTTGATTTGATCATTGGAGGAAAGAATGGATCAGCTTCTGAGCTAGGAGAATAGATTCTTGATGTTCCCTACATAATTAATTATCTACTTCTAATTAAAATATACCATTGATACTGTTTAGCTTGACGTCGAGCTTGACCCCTGGTTTAACTAACACCGCTGTCAACGCAATTGTGCAAGTCATTATTTCGCTAAGGTGTTGAACATTTTGATAATTTCAGTTTCAGACAATAGTGTTGACTGAATTTAAAGCAATTAGTCCTTTTCATGAATTTAGATAACGTAATTGGAAGACTTATTTTATCTAAGGAATGTGATTCGTTTGCGCCATACATTTTGAACAATCTCATCCCACACTTATATATTAGGACTTTTATATGAAAAATGGAAATGCAAGAGGGACAAATATGTTAATAAAAGCAAGATAGTAAAGAGAGAATGATAAGTTTTGAAGCCAGTCTCAGTAAGATAAACATTACTAGATTAGGCTTAGTGTAAGGATAAACTATTTTTGAGCAGATAAAGGAGGCTTACATTTGTTGTGAATAGCTAGCACTTCAGCACCTAAGCATACACCCCTCACATTTTCTATACAATATTACAAAGGTTGTTTTAATATCAGTCCCATGATGTTTATCAATAATGTGTTTTGCAATGCATAATGATGGTTAAGCACCTGTGAATTCAGCTACTTTTGTAGCCATTTTGTACATGTTTCACCACCGTCAAGTGCTTATCTCAATTAATTCTTCCTATGTATATTTGTCCAGACACACATGTGAATTGATACACGCAGTGAGATAAGATGCAATTGTTTTGTACAGTGATGGGGTTTATGTTGGAACATGTGTTTAGTTCTCTCAACTATGATAAACCTAGCTGTATAATTTGTCTTCATGATAAAAGACCTTAGGTTTCGTTTGAAAATCACACCACAAGGATTCCTCACTGTATATGCTAGCATGATGTTGGTGATAGCAAGTTGATAGCAAGTTCGCTAATAACATATCCTCAGAGCAAATCGTATCCAGCCGTTAATAAATAATAACTACATTCATTCAATCGTTGATATATACTTTTTACTTATAGTGTCTGGATGTCTTCTACCGAATGATTTAGACCCTATAGGTCGAAGACCATCACAACGTTTTGCTGGTATGATTACACCTAGCAATGGAGTCTTATGTTCTGTAAGCTTATTTATTTATATCTTGGTTGTACATTACTTTCATTATTTAGCTTCTCAATAAATTAACCGAATAATTATGATAATAGGTGTAGAGTTTAAGCCTAACTCTATTGTGAATGACTTTTAACGCATATTATTCAGTTTGATATGACTACTTTGAACTGATAAGTATTACGTTTTCGAAAAATCTACTTTAAAGCATATTCATCTTGGTGACTTGCAGTGGAATCCAGGACTTGCGTTTCGTCCTATTTGGAACTCGTCAGCTAGATGTACTGACATCCCAGTGAGTGCTGTTGTTACTACTCGAGTGGGAACCCAGTACTCATTACTGCGAACCAGTATAAAGCAAGTATCAAAACAACTACTTTATGACACTTATGCAAAGCATAGTGTAGATTTCAAAAATGCAAGTAGTTTTGCATGATTTCTAACAAAAACTATCCTATGTTTTCGTATCGTAACTAACTCAGCACAGCTATATTAGAAAATTTCTCCGACTGTTGGTCTAAGACGTGTAGAGAACTTTTGGCCTCTAGGTATGGATCAGTGCGACAGTAGTAACCGATCATTGAAGTTTGTGGATGATGCGACTGAAAACAGATCGTGGTGGTGAAGATATATGTCCATATCTTATCTCCATTCTAATGGTTAAATTATTTGGTTTAGCCGCTCTTCTTCTCATCTGATGACTGTTTAAAACTTTTGGTTGTATAACTTACACTCCTTTTTGCTTACGTATCTTACCTTTGTGCCTTAATGCGTCGATGTGAAGTGTATCAACCGGACGGTTACTGTGTAATACTGGAGCTTTATAGGTGATGAATGAAGAATAGTGAGTGAAAATATACACTCCATGTATGACATTTAAATGTCAGTCATATCTGAAAGGTTAGTGGGTTGACTAAACGAGTGCTAGATGATCAATTTGCCACTCCGGCTGTTCTGCAGATTTCGCCAGCGAGATTAGAGTTCGGATACACCACTGATGATCAAAACTGTCGTCGGGTGTTTAGATCACTCTAATCTGGCTGGTGAAATCTACGGAGTGGTCTGAGTGGTTTCTAACTACTCAAGTTGTTCTGTAGCATATTTCACTGAAAAAGTGCTGATCGTACTCAGGACATCGGCATTTATCAACTGATTTACATGCTTTTTTTAAGTTGGTATTCATCATGGACTGACATCAGTTGGAGGAACATTGGAAACCTGAGAGCACCGGACAGCTGTTTCGTCCTAGCATGGGACTCCTCAGCAGTGTGCACCTACGATCCCGCCCCCCATGAATCCAACCCGTGACAGTCGGTTTCAAAATACTGCATTTCTAAAGCAGTGCTAAAAAAGTGAATCTCGAATTCGAACTGCGTCCCACGTACTTCGATCGCGGCAGTCCGGTTGTATCATGAATTCTTAGAAAGCAAGCGTGACTCATAGTCTATAAGCCTGTACCAGGTTAAGCTACATTATCTGATTGTATTGCGGCATCTTTCATAACGTTTTCAGTTGTAAATGATACATCAAGCGAAAATATGAGCATTATGCTGTGTTATTAGGATGCAAATAACAAGTAAACAGAGAAAGCGTGATACCAAAGTAGAAAGAATGAACGAATAGGGTCGAAAAAGACAGTCAAGGCTTCGAAGCTGACGAACAGTGTAAACAAATATACAATTGCCTCTGATTTTGAGCCATGTCACCATGAGCCCCTAGCCACAATTGAATCCTCGCCTCTCCATCACAGGCAGTTTATACCTTCATAAACGACTCAGCCGGAGTCATAGACTTCATGAACTGGTTCCACGTATTAGTTTGACTACCCTAAACCTTCTTCCAATCCATCCTACTTTGGTCAGGATTGCATGTGCAAATACGTGATGGCTTGATATACGTATCACATGTACCTGTCACCTCAGTCAGTGGAGGCTTAGAACCTGATCAACTGACACCTAACCTCTCTGTCGCTCATGCGTTGATTGCATCACACTTTATCAATGATACGAAGACACGTGTGCTGAAAGAAGTATAATCTCCTAATTTTATTTTCAGCAGCCTTGTCTCACAGTTATATAATGCGGAGAGGGAATTGTTACTTAGCACACTTATTTTTAATCGGCAGTCAGATATCTCACCACATGATATAGGTTGGTAAACACCAAGTGTAGCCCTCCACGGTGTGGGCAGCCGGGAAGTATCAATCACCCTCACAACTCTATCAGCACTCAAGTTTCGTCAGACTGCTATCCAGCCCCCCCCTCATCAATACCTTCTAATCTTCCTTCACGTCTCTCAACTAACGATACTACATCATCTCCAATTTCTCCTAGATCTGCAGCCTTCGACAACGATCTGAGTCCACAGAACAGCATCCTTGATCTCCTGAAACCACTCTCCAAATTACATATTGGAGCCTTCAATGTCCGCACCCTCCTCAAATTGGTCAACACGCTTCGTGGGCAAAGAGTGTAGCTACTCGGACTACGGATGTGTGCTGTGTTTGAGAGACACGTATACAGGACCCAAGTGTGGTTATTCACCTGACCTACCCCGGCCAATCTAGTGAATCCGCAAAATTCACCCTCCGAGTTTCTGGAGATTCGATAGCTAGCTCTCGCGATCTTATAGGTGTAGGTATGGCACTAAGCACTAGGGCAGAAAACTCACTACTAGACTGGATCCCAGTCGATAGTCGCCTTTGCGCTATGAGGCTGAACGGCACAGTGATAACTAAAAGGAATAGGGAGACCCGCCGTTGTCTCTCTGTAATCTCTGCTTGTGCGCCCACCGACTATAGTTTGGATGAAATGAACGACGAGTTCTGCCGTAAACTGCCTAACCTCCTCTCGAAAGCCAAACATTCGGACATAGTGGTTGTTGCAGGTGACCTCAACGCACAGGTGGGTAGACTGAGTGAGGCAGAAAGGCTCTTAGGTGGCACTTTCGGAATCCCAGCTGAACGTACAGATAACGGTGATCGCCTACTACAACTGTGCTCAGATAATCACCTATTTTTACCCTGCACAAATTTTAGACATTAGAAAAGACACTGTCTGAGGTGGTGTCCACTGAGCTCAACTCAGCGATGGACACAGACAGACCACATTGCTACTAGTCATTGCTGGAGAGGATTGGTGGAAGACTGCCGCTCCTTCTGGAATACATGCTTGGATAGTGACCACACGTTGGTCCGAGCGCGTATATGTCTGCATCTCCTTGGACGTAAGAAAAATTTGTCAACAAAACGACCACGAGTGCTGCTGGCAACAAAAACACCTAAGCCGTGTTCAGTGAGAAGTTGGCTAGGCAGTTATCGGAACAGAAGACCATCACTCATCCAGAAGAAGCTTGGTGCCATCTTCAGTCTGTTGTAAAAGCAGCACTGGAGACCGTAGCCAACTCCGAAAGAGTGGCTAAAGAGAGCCAGTGGTTATCAGCAGTTTCTTCTGAACTAAAGGATGTACGTGAACGCATCCCTGTCTGCAGGCTCTGAGTACAATGAAGAGCGAGGGCAACTTAAAAGCAGATTGAGAAAAAGTCTACTCAACAACCGCGAACAGTGGTGGTCAGCGAAGGCTAAAGAGATGGAAAAGGCAGTGGCGATTGGTAACAGTAGACAGTTATTTAGACTTATTAAGGAAACCGGGGGAAAGGTCAACAACAGTTTGTGAGACCATAGCGGAGGACGGATTTGCAAGTCACTCGCAGGGGAGACGACTGGAACGATGGGCAAAACACTTCGAGGAACAGTATAACTGGCCACCAGCCACCATTACGTTGCCTGCTATCAAGTTGGATCCTGAATGGAACATTGAGATAGGCTCCCCAACACTAGCAGAAGTCGAGAAAGCTGTAGGTAACCTGAAACGAGGATGGGTAGCAGGACCATACGGACTAACTCTAGAGGTATACAAGGGTGGTGGTAAGGTGCTTTTAGTCAGGTTGACGGAAATGTTAACCAGTATATGAGGATCAAATACGATCTCCTGTGACTAGTCTAAGTGACTGATTATCCCAGCCTTCAAAAAAGGCGAGAAGTCCTCTTGTGGTAACCACAGAAGAATCAACCTGACGAACATAGTGTTCAAGATCCTAGGTTCTATAATTCTCCGACGCCTGAGTGGAGCTCGGGAACAGCAAACCTGAGGAAACCATGCAGGCTTTAGACCTGACCGCGGATGTATCGACCAAATGTTCACACTGCGCCAAGTTTCGGGACACAAACACGCTTATCGACGCCCGACAATAGCATTATTTCTCGACCTGAAGGCGGCATTTTACTCCGTTGATCGAGAAGTCTTATGACAATGTCTCTCACTGAAAGGCGTGCCGAGTAAATGTATTGCCTTATTGAAGGCTCTCTACTCAAACACTTGTGGGCGTGTTAGAGCCTATGGTGAGATATCAGGTGAGTTGTTCTCATCGAGGGTGTCCACTGTTTCTATTCTTATATAATTTTATCTAAGAGATCCTTATGGAGGTTTCCCTCTCATCACCTGATTACACAGACGTTGACCTAATTGCGGATGAATTTTTGTTAGACGTAGAATATGCAGATGACATAGTCCTGTTAGGCGAAGACGCTGACAAGATGCAGAGTCTTCTGAACACTTTGAGTGGGAATTTGAGAGTGTTTGGGATGCGTTTCTTACCACCCTAATGCAAATTGTTGCTCCAGGATTGTTCTTCAACGGCGCCACGTCTAACAATAAAGAGTGTGTTGACCACTTCACTTACTTGGGAAGTAGGATCAGCCGTGCACTGGTGGCTCAGTGGCCGATGAAATCTCTGGACGGATACAAAAGGCTCGACTAGCTTGTGCAACTTACTGGCCATTAAAGGTGGAAGACATGAGAAGGCTTCAAGTGTTTGACCACCGTTGTCTTCGTAGTATAGGCCTTATTCCGTGGTATCACCACGTGAGTAACGCAGAAGTTAGGTGTAGGTGTAGGGTTTTAGAGAGAAGAGGTAAGTCGGTTGACGAGTTATGAACCTTCATCGACTGAGATAGTTGAGACACATGTTACGTACGTCTAGTCGCTGGTTGCCTGGTCACACAATGTTGGTTGAAGTAGGTTCTGGATAGAAAAAGGCCAGAGGCGATCAGACTAAAACATGGCATCAGTGTATCAAGTATTTGACTGTTGGTTTGAGCGATGTGGGTCGGTGCAGACTAGCCGGTTGCGGTGTGTGGGACAAGAGGAACCAGTGGTTGGAGACTAACTGTGAGTGATGTGGCTGAGAACCGATGTCAGTTGCGCAGATGTATCCCCACACACACTATCCTCATCTTAACGACGTTATACCGAATCTCACCATCTTGTCATTCTTTTTTCTCTCTTTTAGTACTTTGTATTTCTTTCGACTGAATTTTTTTATCTTCATCTTGCAGTTCACTGCCTTTTTACTTGATGTACTGATATGAGGTGTGGCAACTCGGACTATTGTGCCCTATGTTGATTTTGATGATAGTGAAACGCCAAATGGTCTAATACAACAGCACCGATGAGTAGGTGATATGATGAACACATTCTATCACTTTACTCCTAATCGGTAAAGTTGAAGTCGTAACATATCAACTGTGAAGCAATGTCTGCGAAATGCCTACTGAAAATACTCAGATTTCTTCTTATGACGCTCAGAATACTCTGCATGTGTTCATTGTTTTTACCTGACAAAACAGAATCTTCCTTATAGTTCATATCAAAAAGATACCTTCTTGTAAGTAAATACCTGATAATTTGGTGGTACCTGGTGTTACATTCATCGTCCCATCTGTTTTAGACCGTTAATTAAGAATGGTGAGTGTGAATGTCTTTAGCAGTCATATGGCTTTTCGAGTCGGAGATCATTTTCATTTTCTTGGTTTGTTGTTTTGGTGTTGCAGTTAGGTACTGAATAACTATGAACCCTAGATTCTTAGATATGACATTGGTCAAATTGATTCATATGTGGTTATCACAAGAAGACTTCACATTTTTCTTATAAAGTGAGATAATCACCAATGTAGACCAGTCTCATACACTAAGCAGCATCTTGTTTACTGTACTATGTAGTTTACTGCCTCCATTACCAGGACGCATAAATTTTACTAAATAAAGACGGAGTCGAGTGTTACTTTTTATTCCTCCATGGTAAAATTGTCTATTTGAAAGCGTAATGTGTTTTCTTTTGTAAATTTCAATATTTAGGGGAAATCAATGAATGTAACAATTCAAGTAGTCCTTATTTCTGAATCTGTACGCCTTCAACAAGTCTTAGCCACTTATGGTATTATTACTCAGACACCGTTACAAGTGGAACCTATTCAAGTGAGCTAGTTTAATTTGAATTATGAATCGACACTTTTTAGTTGCTGAATGAAATTTTTTTATCGATTTCTATATTTGTTGGGATTGATTGATTTCAAGGGAATATTCATCATGGACTGACATCAGTTGGAGAAAAATTGAAAACCTGGAAGCAGTGACCAGCTGTTTCGTTCTAGTATGGGACTCCTTAGCAGTGCTCACCCATGACCCCGCTAGGGATAGTTCCCAGGACCTTCGGAACTTGTTGAAAGCATCTTTCCATTAAGTCACTGTGTCGGAATCCAATGGTCCACAATTTCCTAGTCCTGTTAATTCGTGATATAGCACGACCGTTATATTACTTCATCGACTTGTGTTTGCCTTCACATGCGACTTGGTTGGTCTTTCAGTTCGCAGCATCTCTTCGATAGACCTGAGGATCCTGAGTTCTCCTCCTGGTGAGGTCATTGGTGCTCACTACCGGAGAGTCTCATAATAGGATTAATTAGCTGTTCAGTGCTCTCGGCTTTTCAACTGTTCTCCAACTGATACCAGTCCATAATGAATACTACTTTGAAGTAGTTTTGTTTTTATTTCGTATTTCTATTTATTTGTTTTCAAAGCTCTTTAAAGCTAAAGGGTTATTAGCTTGTAAAATTTTAGAGATTTATGTAGGAAAATGGTAGATGAAACTTTAGGACATCTGTTAAACCGTTAATGATGGACAGTGGCTAGCAGTGAAATCTAGGACGCGCGTTTCGTTCTGTTTGGGACTCGTCGTCTGGATCTACCTTTCTCTGAGTGAACGATGTTATTTCCACTAGGACTTGAACTCGAGACTGATAGCTGCAAACGCCAGAGCGTTATCCACTAGACCACTGAATCACGATAACCACTTCTTGTGCGACGGGTGTAGTTTTAATGTTGTTGCTTGTTTTATCATGTCGTTGATTGGACCGAATTGATTGGTCTCTATTGGTATATGGGCTCCTGGACAAATGTTTCGATATGGCTTGTGTTTGAATTATGTATTAATGATGGAATCCAGAACACACATTTTGTGCTATTTGAAACGAGAAGGGAAGATCAAAACATTTGCGCAGGAACCCGTATACCAATAGAGTCTGGTCAATTCGGGCCACTCAACGATGGGGTAATAAAAGCAACAAAATCTGTTCAACTGGTTTAACCGGAAAAAAATTTTTATACTGTAGATTTCCTTTGAAAAACACTAAGTTCTCATTTATATATAAATGAACTGACCAGTATAATGTAGTTTTTAAGTATTATTTAGAGTTTTCATTCATTAATATTGTCAACTTTAATTGGTATCCAATCTATTCTTAACACTTCGTGTAAGATTGGTGCTGTATCATCAATAGCGATTTTTTGATAAGTTATTTCAGAGATATATCAACAAATAGGGTTTGCCTGTGTTTTTCATCATAATTGCATTCTCAAATGGTAACATTTTTTGCTTCGATTTTCACTTCAGTTCGTTGGTAATAATTAATAGTAGTAGAAATAATGTTTTTTTTTGAACTCACATTAGTAGGTTTTTCTTTTATTCAACAGATTTGGTCTTCAGATCAACTTGTTCGGGTCGGTAAATTTATGGGATGTAGTGAACGTCTAGGGTTGTCTGGTCGTCCTCCTCGACCTTATGGACAGTTAGGAACCAGTAAATTTTACAGGTAACCTTGATTTTCTTTTGCTTATCAATTTTCCTGTTTCTTAAATACCTGTTGACATTTCTTCTTCACTATACTGGTCTATGCAAAAAATTTACCTGACTTTATGTTTAAAAAACAGCGGAGTTGTCAACTACTCTAAGTTATGGTTTTATGGTTAAATTCCTATCGAGTTTAATAATATCTCTGATCTCGCAGGTAATTGGATTACAGTAAGTTCTGGAGATAAAAGTGCACTTTATGCTTGGATTCCTGTCGATATTTACCTGAACGGGTTATATCAGAACTTGAAAGATCCATGAAGCTTAGTTGTCGTTTCCTATCAACTCACCAGTAAAGGCAGACGAAATCACCGTGCAACCTCTCACAAAAGTAGTATACAAAGAACAGGTGGATAGAATAAGAATGATATTAAAGTAGATAAACTAGTAAGAAAGAATAAATAATCTGAAGATAATGGTTAGTGGGAATATTCAAGCTTTAGAAGACGTAAGGGAATGAATACATCTGCACCATTGTGACCGATTTTCAACCATGTCACCAAGAGTCATTCTTCAATCACTGATTTCTGTCGTCTCGGGGACCCCAACCAGGTATTTTACATCTCCCAACACAGCTCAAATCAACAGTCAGGGACTTCATGGACTCATACCACATCATGGTCTGACCACAGTGAACCCTCTCCTAACCTGATCCGACGTCGAGATAGGTGATGGCTTGGCATGTGCAGTACATGTCCAGGCCACATCAGTCGACTAAGGTTCATAACCTCTTCAATCGACTCTCCTATCTTGCCTAGTACCCTTCGTGTGACCTCAACATTGCTCAGACAGTGATTCCACCAAAATCGATCAAGGCTGCCACTATAAATCCCTTTCGCAGGCTACGGTATGCCGCAGGGGGATGTGGGTGTTCTATTTTTGGGGCTCATCTTACTAATGCCCCCTTCCTATAGGTAAGGCAGCATCAGCGTGGCACTGCTGACCATCCAAATGAAACACCTTACCGTTGTCACACCCTCATCCAGTCAGCAGTATGACTCTGCCTTCAGAAACCCATCATAGCGTTACAATTTATACCATAATGGTGATTGCTTTTTGTCCACCTACTATCCAACAAACCTTTCTGATATGATGGAACCCGGAAGGAACAAGCATTCCACCAACATAGCTTGGGTCATTATGACATAAAACCCTGACCACCATGCCAAGGTAGTAATCGTATTCTAACTATTCATTTTTGAAGAGGACTGGTGAAAGGTTTGCTTTTTCACAAATAATAGTGGTGGTGGTGATTCTGTATACCTATAACTCTTCAAAAAGTGATAATCTATTCAAAGATATGAGGAAATGACTCTTCTCTCAAGGATCTGGTTACTTAAGAAATTTGATCAAAGATGTTAAAGGCAGTTTGGTATTTGCTGCTAGCTTTTGTCGTCTGCGTTGGTGAAAATTTATTGAGCATGAGTTATCTTTTTTCCAACATTCACTGTGGGATATGTACGTTTAAAGTGGAACTCATGAGAAGGTACTTACAAAAAATTCATGTGTGTTATAGACTCATTGGGTTAACAAAAATGTGCGGATTATGACCGCAGTTACGGATATAAGAAATACATCAGTCTATGGAAATACGAACTCCCACCGTCTGTAGTAGTTGGAACATGTGTTATATTCGCTGAACCTTATTATACTTCTACAGGCATTACTGGTCGGATTCAGCTTATTTTCATCAAAGCAAGGAAAACAAGACTTTCTTTCATGAAAGTGATTGCAGGAAAGCTTTACTGAAGTCGGCTTAGATTCGAAGAAAACTAACTATGCTTCAATTAAGATAAAGGAGCAATCTGTGGGGTCACTAAATGTGTAGGCCTGAGCAGTTTAGAGAAGCGTAGCATATCGGAAAAATGTAGTTCTGTCGATTGCTGAAACCAATGACTGCGTAGACTCTCGGTTTCATGGTTTCAGATCGACAACACTAATATAGATTCATTCACTTTCTTATACCCTCCAGATATTGAATATTTTATTACTTTATACCTTTCTTCTTTTGAACTGATTTCCTAAAAGTTCTTAGTTCACTTATTCAATAGATTTACACCCACCTATTGTATCAAATCTGGACTACAACACGCCCGACTGCCTTTTGGTCAACATTTACTCATATTCTCGAATCTCTTACTGATACACTTTAATGTTATATAATCTAATGTGGATTCAATCTTAATAACATCACTTTTTCTAAACTATCAATCAATGTGCATCATTTTTCAGTTACTCCTATCTTTATTCGCTTTTGTTACCTATTTTGCACGTGTATAAACTACGACCGACATATAAACGAGCTGCAGTCATATCATGATGGTTTTTACCACAGACTGATATCAGATGGAGAATCATTGAAAACCTGGGAGCACTGGACAGCCGTTTCGTTCAAGTGTGGCACTCCTGAGTTGCACGCATCCATGACCCCATGTTGAATGGAATACAGGACCATGTGTCTCGTGGTGATAACGTTACCATTCAGTCACTGTATCGGGGTCTAATGGTCCACATTTTCCTACTTCTGTTAATTCATGATATAGCGCGATTATCATCCTATGCTATTGGTTAGTATTCGTCCTCAAACGGGGCTTAGTTGACCCCAAAGGTCACAGCTTCTCATTAGAACTTTGGGGAGTCCATAGTAGGCGCTAACCAGTAATTTAGTTTGTAGGTTTACGGGGGTCGATTGATTAACAATGTGCTAACTGCGAAACTTGATGATCCTGGGTTCGATCCCTGGCGAGGTTGTATGTCAAATCGATTGGTCACTGGAGGGCAACCAACTTTATATTGTGTAGTCCTAAGTGCTGATCGAATTCTATCGATCATTTTGCAATTTGGCTACCAGGCTAGTTGACTGAAGATCACGGTACGCTCTGGTTGGTGTTAGTTGGACGGAGGCAATCAGCAGAAAACTCTGGACCTAGGTTTCCTGCTTTTTGATCCTCGTCAGCAAGGTGTATCTACCTCCATCCAACTAACATCTGTCAGAGTGCGTCGTGATGTTGAGTCAACTGCCCCGGTGACCACATTGCTAAATGATCTGTAGAGTTCGATCAGGACCAGACAACATGAAGTTGATTACCTTACAGTGACCAATCAGTGTGCCTAATCTAGTTCTACAGTAGGTCAGTGACGACTTTAATAGCTCAATGGTAACATCTCTAGTTGGAGCACTGGGTGAAGTCGGTTCGAATCCCACAGGGGACATCAGTTCCGTAATGGTTGAAGATACGCCTTGCTCACGAGTGCCAAAACCACGAAACCTAGTTCCAGGGCTCCCCAGCGATTGTCTCGATCCAAGTAACATCTATCAAAGGGGTTGTATGTGCTCATCGTTTCCATTCTCAGACGAAACAGCTGACCAGTATTCTCAGGTTTTCAAAGGTTCTCCAAATGATGTCAGTCCGTGATGAACACTGCCTTAAAATCAATCAATCCTCACTAATCTCACAGAACTAAGTTACTATTATGTCTTTGAAACTCAGTACCCTTCGGTTTTCTCTACTCATACTAATGTCTATTCCAAGCCTACAATGCATTGATTATTACAAGAGAGTTATTACTTTAAAACTGTGTGGCCTGAGGGCCAGGGTTTTGAAACGGTCACCTCCTCAAATATTTCTATATTACTTTAGATGAATTCAATAATCAGTTCTTACATTTTTCAGCAATTTTAAAGATACACGTTGATATCTATCATGTTAGAATGATTTGTTATCTGTGATGTCATCAAAGTACCAAGTTAATCCCATAGATTTATGAGATGTCTCAACTGATAATATTTTAGATTAATGTAATTGCTTGCTGAATAACATGAATAGCCTATGTTGCTCACACGAATTTTTCGGTTCCCTTGGTTCTACTGTGTAATAAGATGATTCCACAGCAGTTAGCCAATAGTATTCTACTGTATTATAGTCTACCAAAACAATATCTTAATCTTTTCATGAGTTATTTTTTTTGTTCATTGAATTGAAAAGATATCCAATTCTTTTCTAACCGAGTACTTGTTAGTAATATATTACATGTAGATAGTATATATATATATATATATATATATATATATATATATAATTTAAATAAGTTTATCATTTGGGTTGTATTGTTAATCTGTTATTCATTTTAGAATATCTGGCCTCACTGTCCTCTGTTATCCATTACTGTTTGAAGCTCAAGATTTCTACCTTCTACACGATATGCAAGTGGTGATTGATGAAGCTAAGGTGAGTGAAATAGTCCTGACGATTGCATTTCTTTACTTATCCGTATGAAAGACTGATTATCACTTGGATAATATTTCGTTGGTTTTTAATTATCACTTTCACTAATATGGTAATTTTTCCCAGTCTCTATGTGTGTCTAATAAATCTTTTCTAATATATTCCTAGAATCTGGCCTTGGTTATCAAACTTTCACTATTTGTCCTGCGGTATTTTTTTACCGATAATTAGGCGTTTTTTATAAACACACTAAAGCGTATAAGAAAGCTTTATAAGTTATACATCCATCGATAAATTTTATCCTTGAGAACTAATGTTTAGAGTATTGATCATGCATTTCCAATACCGTCGTTTCCCGGAACATCAATTACCAAGACATGTAGTACTGAAATACAACATGCATGAAGTTCTTTTAGAGGATAAAGAACACTTGAACTAAATCGTCTCTAATCATTTTGCAGAATAACAGAGGAGATTATAGTATTGTTGTTTGTATTACACCGTCGTTGATTGGACCGAATTTATCAGTCTCTATTGGCATGTGGGCTCCTATGCGGATGCCTCGACATTGCCTGTGTTTTAATTATATATAGCAAGGACGGTGTAATACACGCAATAACACTAAAACTATACCCGTCGCACAAGAAGTGGCTATCGTGGCTCGGTGGTGTAGTGGATAACGCTCTCGCGTTTGAAGCGATCGCTCCCGAGTCCCAGTGAGAACAACACCACTCACTGGGAGACAGGTACATCCGGCTGACGAGTCATCTTGATATTCATCATGGATTAACGTCAGTTGAAGAAACCTTAAAAATCTGGAAGTACTGGACATCTATTTCGTCTATGATGAATACCAACTTACATCAAGAAATAAATCCCCACAAATCTGTAAATCGATAACTTGAAGTTCATTAGAACACTTTTTCTCTTATTCTCCTGTTCTTGTCCTAATTCCGTTGAACACAAGCTTGTGTTACGATCTGTATTTTCTTGATTATTGATAACTCCATAGATCTTTGCAATCTAGTGTAAATACTCATTCTTATCCTTTTGATCAATGCTCATTGTAGCTCCTTTGTCTCTGCCTAACATTAGTTTATTCTGTGGTTTTTTTATTTAGCTGTCGATAATTTATATCAATGATCATCATAATACTGATTGGCTCTTAATATTTTCCTCTTGTTTCCTTTTGTTTTGTTTTGATATCATTGCAGACAGATTTTCTATTTCTAGCAAATTGGTGGAGATTACGTGGACGACCAACATTTTGTTTTCTTATGCGAGAAGATATGGTGAAGTAAGTGTTTGGTGTTTTCTGATCAAATATCACATATGACTATTTTATACTCACTGCTTACTTACTATCAGTGTTATAAAATTCTGCATATTGATCATTTTTTTTCTAATGAAGTTGTGGTTCGTTGGTTTAGGGAGATGAATTTCGACCAATGGGTCATAGGTTGAAACCTCACTCCACCTGCCGAGGTATTGACAGGCAGGCAGTATCATCAATAACTGTGGCTTACTATCTATAGCATGAATGTGCACAAGGTTGCTGAGTACGTTCCGATTCCGATCCGATCCGCTCACTTTCTTACACTATCCCTAGTCTTCAAAACACTGTTGTTTAAGGTAGATATATTTTCTTAGCATTTTAACACAGCCATCGAGTAAGCCTGCTTGAACCTTGGATTTCCAAAAAATGTTTTTTCTGAACTTGTTTTGGTCATTCAACTATGTCTTTAGGTAGTATTATGTACTCTTGCGCATTTTAAAAATATTTTCAACCTTTTTTTGAGAGTTAATCATAAAAATTGCAAGAAAGCTCACAGTAGACCGTAACGGGCCCTTAAGAGCATGACATTGTGTTAGATAACTATTCCTGCAACAGTTAGTTCGAACTGTAGATTTTCATGCAGGCTAAGGGATCCATCATCACCACTAAACGTGCGCACGCTATTCGATTCGCTTCCCTATAACAACTAACCTCATTATATTATATTATTATTATTTGTCGCTTGGGTTCCTAGTGGAACATAGGGCTTCAGTAGCACGTCTCCAGTGCCTTCTCTTCTCTACAATCTTTTTAACCTGGCTCCAAGACTGCCCACAAACTCTCATTTCTTCCTCATACAATCTCCATGTCACCCTCACCTCGGACGTCAAGCTCATCGTTCCCCATCTGGGTTCCACTCGAGGGCCTGGCCTGGCGCGTAATAGGCTCTTGGTTGGTTCGTTACCAGCTAGCCAGAGTTCTTTGTTGCTTATTCTTTATGGCCATCTAATCTTCAGCTCAGTATCGAGTGAGCGCAGGCGGCAGCTTTTGATGAATATTTGTAGTTTGTTGGAAATGATTTTCGTGACGCGCCAAGTCTCTGAACCATATAGAAGCACTGACTTGACATTGGTGTTGAAAATCTGGATCTTGTTCACGCTTTATGCTGAGTTGAGTGCGGACGATCTCCACACTGGTTTCAGGTTAATAAACGCCTGTATGGCTTTTCCGATTCTGGCCTTGACGTCCTCATCTGCGCCTGTGCCGCCTGTAGTTGAAACGATGCTGCCTAGGTAGGTGGAAGAGACTACTTCTTTTAAGTTTCTCCCGTTGATGGTGATTGGAGCTTGTTGTTGTTTGTGACGTTGGTTGAGTATCTTCATCACCTCTGTCTTCTCTACGTTCATTTGAAGTCCCGTCTTTGCTGCCTCGCCTTTTCTGTCAACTCGTTAGTTTTTTTAATATTAATGATGGGCAGTGGCTGGCAGTGGAATCCAGGACGCGCATTTCGTCCTCTTTGGGACTCGTCAGCCTGATGTTAGTTTTTGCCTGTAGATCTGCGAGTTTGTGACATTAGACATAAGTCGTCGGCGAAATCCCATTCTTCTAGATTGTTTTCCGCAGTCCAGCGTATCCCGCTCTTCTCTCTCCTCACTGTTTTGCTGCATGATCCAGTCCACTACAATCAGGAATACCATAGGTGATAGTAGACAGCTTTGTTTTCACTTCAAAGGCATAACTGAGCTTTCCACTGTGAATTACTTGGCATTTGGCGTCTTCATATAGTTGTTGAATGAGGTTGATAAAAATTTGTGGTATTCCATAGTGTTGGAGCAGCTGCCAAATTACTTCTCGGTCGACGCCTCGATCGAAGGCCCTTTCAAAGTCGACGAAGTTGAGGTAGGGAGTTGCCATTCTGCCATTCTATACTCTGTTCTATGGTCTGTGTGGCCTCGCGTTGCGATTTGATCCGCACATGATTTATACTTCCTGAATCCACCCTGTTCAGTCGTAATTTTGAATCCAGCGCATTGTTTAGCCTCTCCAGGATGATGCGGCTTAATATTTTGCTTGGGGTGGACAGAGGTGGAGCATGATTCCTCACCAGTTCTTGCAAACACTTAGGTCTCCCTTCTTTGTGAGTTTGACAGGGTAGCCTCTTCTTCCAATTGACCAGTATGTGCCTTTCCTTCTTTCCTTCCAGAACTTCTGCAATAGTGTTGTGAGCATGTCCGCTGTTGTCCCTGCAGCTGTTTTCAGTGCTTCTGGAGGAATTCTATCTGGTCCTGCTGCCTTCCCACATTTCAGTAGCTTTATGGCTTTAAAGACTTTGACTTTCGTCGAAGTTGTTGTGTTCACTTGCAGTTCTGTTGCTGGGCTGCAGGTGGTGTTTCTGGACGAAGTGCAAGTGGTGTTCGATTCAAGAGCTTTTCATTGTGGTCAGCCCATCGTTTCCTTTGTTTCTCCCCTCGCTTTGGCAATTAGATTTCCTTCATCATCTTTTATTGGTTTCATCTGTATTGATCTCTTCCCTCCCAGATAGTAACCTGGTTATTTGATATAGTGTTGTCAGGTCTCTCCTACCAGCAGCCTGTTCTGCTTCATTTGCCAGTGTTTCGTAGAAGTGTCTTTTGTCTTTGCGTGCATTCTTTTTCACTTCTTTGTCCAGTGTGGTGTTTTATACGTTGCACTCAGTTCCTCTTTTGGAGAGAGAGAGAGATTGATTACTGAATCTTTGTCGAATCAACCAACACCCAACACATGTTATAGGGATGATACAACACCTATTGCAGAGATGTGGAATATTCACTACGAATAAAAGCAAAGAATATGAGGTGTGACAGGACTATGAAAATCAGATATTGAAAGTAGTGTTATTACATTGATATGATTACGAGCAATGATAATTTATGCTCGGAACGTCATTAGGTAAATAATACTGTATCAAATAAACAAATCTAATATGGAATTAAACTCTACCACAGTGCCCAAGTTTGCACTTATATTTTGATCTGTCTCTTGAATTCCTTTCATTGCCCCTTTTTTGAATAGGCTATTACAAACGCTCTTTACTTTCAGATCCTACAGTCAACCAACACATAATCTTTTTAACATCACAATCCTTTCGTTTTTTTCAGAACTAAATACATAATACTATTTTGTTTTATCTGATTCCCTGACCTTAATTAGTTAAATTATATTCTACTATTAGTACATTTAACACGTTTTCAAATATTTATACCCGTGAAACTTTTCTCATGCAGTGAATATTCTATTTCATGTGAAACTTTTATAAATACATTTTTATTGTTCTACATATTTCAATCCATCAATGTTGATATATCATGTAGTAAGTAGTCTTGTTTCCTTCTAATATATTGAAATCTTTGGTGTTATGCTTTTGAAAAGTCACTATTTGATCACTATTCTTATCGATGTTCCCAGCAGTTCATCGGTATTATACCTTCCAGTCTGATACTGATTGATCGAAGGTAATCTACAGAATGGAGGTTTATACATGCGTAAATCTTTTTTCTTGACATAGCCCTAATTTGGCAAACTTGTAGTGATACTAGATGATCATTGAAAGTGAAATGAAAATCTGGGTCGTGTCAGGGCTCAAACAAACCGCCTCTCAGTTACCGCCTCCATAATCGATCAACTGAGTTACGAGACTCATCTGCTGTCCAGATCTTTATTTTATTTCAATCACCAAGGGTTATGCCCGACTCCCATATCAATTTGTAATACGTAACTGTCCATTCATCGTATTCACTTTGGTTGCCCAGCCACCATTTCTCATCTCAATCCAAATCAAGATCTGATCGGCAGCTGGTTCTCGTAGCTCAGTTAGTACAGCACCGGCACGGTAACCCAGGGGTTGCTGGTTCGAATCCCACCGTGACTCAGATTTTCACTACTCAAATATATATATATATATATATATATATATATGGTTAAAAGAAGAGTAAAAAAGACTATGTATATACCAAAAGTAAGGATACTTACTAGACCCATAACTTTTTTTAAAGCCTAGGGATAACTTATGCAATCAGTCACACTAGCATTTAGATTCATTAAAGATAAATAATAGGAACCTGTGCAATCTTCAATCAGCTTTCTTTCAAAAGTAAAAGTTGATTAGTTGATCATTTGAAGTAAAGTTATTCCCTTCAAAACACGTTGCCATCCACCGTGATGATTTTACCTCGTCTTATATGATAAAAACATTGCTATAGGTTACAAACGTTTTAAAAATGCATGTGAATATATATGACGATTAAAGGACACAGTGATACGATTAAAACAAACAAAAGCGTGCAATAAATGGATCCAATATGTTAGATGGAAAATTAAGTAACCCAGATATCTGAGCAAGCCACCTTATCGAGTTTAAATTCTGAAATCTTAGTTGACTATCATCAACGTATATAGCATTTTCGAATTGAAGTAGGCATTTCTGGGCTTATCAGATGACAAAAGTGTTCTCTACTATGCTTTAAAGTTTTAAGTTTACGAGTATTATGAAAACGTCATAGACATACAACTGTAGGATCGTTTGTAGTATCACTTTCATGTAGTTGGCTAATTAGATAAAGTACTTTGAAGTCTATGTGAAGTTCGAAATTGTTGCCTTAGTTTTAGACGTGATAAGAAAGAATGCTTTGAGGTATGTAATTTAGGTGTTGTCTACCAGTGATGAGAATTTTGATATATTCATCTGAATCAATGATTTTAGGTTACAGTTCTATTTTAAGGCGTATCGACCTGTGTCAATTTTTTTTTTTTTATCAGATCATATGTTGTTATTGTCCGCTGCTACCGTGTTAATCAACATCATATATACTTTACCCATCTTTTCTTTTCGAGTTATATAACAGTGATAGGCAAGTTTTTTCAGTTGGTGCTGTTGCTGCTGCTTCTACTGTTTACGGCGTGTCAATACCAATTTTGCGACAAAGCCTTTTAAAAGTTGACCATTTCCCAGTCCTTTTATACGGTAGCTAACATTTTGTTGAGTT